GCCATTGCCAACTTTTGGAACAAGTAAGCACACCGTCTGGGATTATACAAATGTAAATTAAATAATTTGACGGTTATAAAAAAAATGCAGACCTGAATGTTCTTTTTATGCTCTTATTAACACACATTTTTGTTTGAGTGAATAGGTGCGATTTGGGGAGAAAATGTGGATTTTCCTTCCATTGTGCAGACATGGACACTGGTTCCTTGTTGCCGCGAAAGTGGAATCGCGACAGATCTACATCATGGACTCCCTGCCCAGTCCTGCAAAAGAGCGGCAGTTCTTCTTGCACTGAAGGTACATTTACTCCTATTGATAGTGTATAATCAATACACTGTAATAATCCCATTTTTAGTTTTTTTAAAACATACTAGATCCTCCAACTCCCATTATGCAATCGGTTGTGGGTTTTTTAGACCCTACATGTCTGGGAAAGACCCAATACTTAAAACTCTACAGCCTTACTCTTTACCGATTGAGTAACAGCTCTTACCATGGTTTTAACAGATCTTTAAGTGTTTGTCAATGAATCGATAATAATTATTAATTCTTTTGCAGAAATACTACTTCTAACCACATTTCTTTCAGCCCTGTTATCAGTCCATGTCCGATGTTTCTCCACCATCTGCCTCCTCTCTCAGGTCTTGGATGTGTTCCCTGCTGACACTTCACACACTCCACAGCCTCATAGGCCTCACTAGATGAGTCCTCTGAACTCTCGACCAGGCTGATCACATGTTTGGCACAGACTCAAAACTCTACAGAAAAGACCTCCTGCTCCTTTCAATTACCGTCCTCACAACCTCATTATCAGCCTCTCCGTCCAGCACTGCCCACACACCACGGTTGGCAACAGTCTGCAGATAGAAAGAGAACTCGTCTCGTTAGGCTATATCGCACAGGGATCAATAACCGATTAAACTCATGGTGACCCTCTTCTCGTGGTAACCTTGATCATGTCCCTCATGAACAGACACACACTGCGGTGTATTGAAGGGTCAGTTCACAAACATTAAAAAAACATTATTAGACTCATCACTCATGGAGATGTTTGCCGAGAGACAAACAAAATGGAGAATTCAATTGGGCATATGGTGCTCGCTCACAGCATTGAAAAAGTATCTTTAAAAAATCAACAGGAAGATCTCTTTTTGGAAAATCCACACAACATAGCCTACAGGCTGTCAGAAGACGTTAATCCCTGAAATTAGTTCGTGTTGAGTTTGTGGATTATTTTAAGGAACAGGGACACTTTCTGAAAAGTACACACTGCCCATTCTAAAAAAAAACAGACATTCTGAAATCCATCAATGTCACAGAGAGAGAGAGAGAGATCATAAACGTGATGAATAGATGTGATTCAAGGCATTTACAAGCTTTTGTATACATTGCTTAAGTAATGTGTTACTCTTTCCCACAATGTGCCCTTTAATCATGTTCCCAACCACAGAGAAAAACTACGTAACTTTTTACACAAGTTGGATGGTATTTAGCCTCCTTCACAGTGGAGCCTTGTGTCACCACCAGAGGAGCATAAAACAAATGTTGGACCCAATGAGTCACCATGTCTCATGCTGCTTTGTTGGAAGGGCGGCCCAACTTACTTTTTCCCAAGAGTTAAATCACAACCCTTTGATGAGAAGTTAAAACATAAAATGAATAGACTACAGTTTCCGATTACAATCTTTCCAGTAGGGAATCTAACCCCTGATCTTTCCCACTGTCAAGGCGGACCCGTTCTGTGCAACCACTCAAACCCTGGAAATGTATTTTCTCAACAGTAAAAGAATATGGTTCATTCTTTCAAAGAAAAGTCTTCTCCCACTATGACTAAACTGTCATGAAGTCGTTCAGCATAAACCCTGTCAATTTGAAAGACCCCATTCAGGTCAGTGAGTGTAATCCAACGCACTTTTAAAAAGTTCACCCAATGTCGCTAGCTGTCCGTTCTTTGGGTGTGCTAAAAACAATGGTGTTAATAGTATACAGCCCTGGAAACAATCAATCGGGCTTGGACACAACACTATTCCTGCCAATCAGCAACAGGAGGAGACAGGCCATGGAAAAACAGAAATAACCTTATTGGTTTGTTGAATGTTGAAGCTGATCGAACATTGCCATTTTGTTGGACATATTCACTCCTCAGTCTCTGAACTAGCCAATAACTATGAATATAAAGCCATATTGGTAGAGTCCATCTTTGGTTTTTGAAGATTTCATACCTTTTAGACGAGATTCAGCTGGTAGCCAACCTTTGAACAATTTTCCTGGCAAAAACCTAGTTTTTAACTTGGCAGCATGTGACTTCATGCAGCCTGCCAAAGCAGGGAATAAAGTGGCAACAAAATATTTAATGGTTAGTTTGACATTTTGGTCCTAAGCCTTTGAACAAGGTGTAATAAAGTGTTCACATGCAAAGTGTGAAACATTCTGACACATATAAAGGTTTTATAACTCTAACTGGACTCTTTCTTTGGTTGCGATAGGATAAATAAATACTCAGGGCTGTCGGTCACAGCTAGAGCAGAAAAGTACAGATTTGTTTAGACTTGAAGCTTTTTGGCATTTAGCCTTCGATATAATTGGAGGCCTTTTCTGAAGACATAATTACATTTGATACATCACTGATCAAGCAATGCTGGAAAAAACCTTGTTGTAATAGATCAGTTACCTCATTAGATAGTCTTCATGTAGAGCACATACGTCAAACTCAAGGCCCGGGGGCCAAATCAGGCCCTTGGTGGATTTAATTTCGGCCCGCAGGATCAATCAATGTTTATTTATACAGCCCAATATCACAAATGTTACATTTGTCTCAGTGGTCTTCACAGTTTGCACAGAATATCAGTATGACAATACGACACCCTCTGTCCTAAGACCCTCACATCGTACAAGAAAAAACTTCCAGAGAAAACCCACAGTTTAAAGGGAAAAATGGGAGAAACCTCAGGGAGAGCAACAGAGGAGGGATCCCTCTCCCAGGACGGACAGACGTGCAATAGATGCCCTGTGTAAATCGAAAAGATAATACATTTACAACATAGGTAGTCCAAATGTTTGGAAATGCATGTGTCTATAATAAGAAGATGAATCCACAAGGATGTCAGGAATCTTGTGGGAGCCATCAGGGAAGTAGTATGGTGAGAGTCTGGCAGGACCGCAGAGACAGGTTCAGCCACGACTCGAAGTCCAGGACTCAGGATAGAGGATAATTTTTAATTACTATTAGATCTGGCCCGCCGGTATATTGCACGCACACCTTCACTCAATCCTGAGGATGTCCTCAGCTCAGAGCCTGAGCCCAAACATTGATNCTGGCCACAATAAAGCCATCTGGAAACATGCGATTTTGCTTTACTTGGGGGTCTGGGGGTCCGAAAGACCCAGTCGGTATTCTTGGTGGCTGAGGGTTCAGGATTAGGTTAGGGGTCAGGGTGTAGGTGATAGGTTGTAGGGTATGTTGTGATCGGAGTGGCCTTTTGTCATGCGTCCGATTAACATACGCCTGGGCCGCCGCTACCATAACCCACCACCACTTGGGCTCACTGATTCACAACATTACCCTAAACCCTAACCCTAAGCATCTTGATGAGTGCCACACCTGTGAGGTGGGGATGGCATTATATGCTCGGCAAGGAGGAAGTGCGTCGCTGATCACGCAGATTTTTTCAGACATTAGTGAACAGATATGTGAGAGAATGTTGGGATTTTGCTGGTATGTAGCAAAATTTTTAGATCTTTGAGTTCATCTCATGAAAAAATGGGGAGCAACACCAAAAAACAAAGCGTTGCGCTTGGTGATTATTTTTGTTGTTCAGTGGTATATACCCACATGACAGCGTCATTGGTTACTTCTGTTAATTGCTACTCCGACTACATTCAGGAGGTAGCTGTATGTTGCGCCCGAGATTATGGAATTAAACCAAATAATAAAACAAGCTATGAGTTGGGCTGTTATTGGTGAGTAAGTAACTGCTGTATTGAAGAATAACAAATCTTAGAAGGAAAAAAAGATTGAAAAAATACAGATTTCAGTATTCTGAGGCTCTGAGCCCCATTTATTTTCCTTACAGACGACAACAAAAGTCAGAAATTATACGATTTAAAATAAAAGCAATAATTGTGGCTTGATATTGAGTAAGAACATGTTTTTATGAACCACACAGCTTCCGGTCTTCCCATAACACGTAATGCCGTGAGACTACCAATAGAAATACATTGCTTTTAAAATCGTGCTGTGCAACACGAAAAAAAGGGGAAAATCGTGTTGGTGAACACGAATCAATAGATTAAAAATCGTGATGGTGAACACGAAATGCCATGAGACTGGGTTGAGTGTTTACTACTGCCGAGGTTATTTGGTGACCTTCCATTAGCATGCGTTACAGACTGACTTAACCTCT